TGTGGAGAGGGAGGTGTGGGGCGGGCGGGGCCGGTGCCTGCCCCTCCCGGCAGCGACGGCGTTTTTATCGACAACGAGAAACCGAAGCAAAAAAAAACAACAAACAACCCAACAAAACAAAAACCAACCAAAACAAACCCAAAAAAACAGAGGAAAAAGAAAAAAAAAAAAAAAGAGAAAAGGAAACTGTGTCGTGTGGTTAAAACAGCAGGGGGTGGGGAAGGGCTGGGATCATTGGAAGGGGGGGCTGCGGGAAAAGGATGGATTACAGGGGTGGATGGGATCACTGGGAAGGGATCATGGGGAAGGATTGCAGGGACTTGTTGGGGCTTTGGGCAAGGGATGGCTGTGGGGAGGGAATCCCAGCACCATCACACCATGGCAAAGGGATGGGGCTACAGGGCAGGCCCCACACCATGGAAAAGGGATTTGGCCTCAGGGATGGGACCACACTGGAGACACGGGACCACCCATGCAATGGGGCCTCATGCCAGGGGTTCAGGCACTTGAGGGATTTAAAATAACAAACACCCCCAAGCAGCCTTTGCCATCCCATTGTAGATGCGGGCATGGCTTATCAACCAGGATTCATAAAAAGCAGCTTAAAAAATACCCCAACTTAGGTACAGGCACCAGCTGAGACCTGACAGGCTCATCACACCAGTGGGTGTGCTCTAGGTCCTGCCCCCATGCCTTCCACAACGGGGGTGAATTCCTGGGTCATTCCTGGGGGGGAAAAAAACATAGGCAAATGAAAAGGGAGACCCACGTCCCTCTGCAGGCTCCACTGGATTCCCAGTGGATGGTCCAGCCTGGCTGGAGTTGAGCTGGTGGAAATGGAGTCCAGGAGGGGATGATGGTGGGGAAATGTGGGTGGTGGGGAAGACGGGTGGTGGGGAAGGTGGGTGCTGAGGATGCTGGGGATGGTGGGTAGTGGGGAAGGCGGGTAGTGGGGAAGGCGGGTGCTGGGAAAGGTGGGTGCTGGGGAAGGTGGGTGCTCGGGAAGGCGGGTGCTGGGGAAGGCGGGTACTGGGGAAGGCGGGTGCTGGGGAAGGTGGGTGCTGGGGAAGGCGGGTGCTGGGGAAGGTGGGTGCTGGGGAAGGTGGGTGCTGGGGAAGCTGGGTGCTGGGGCGCAGCAGCGAGTGCTCCAAAGAACCAACCAAGGTGACGATTTTGACAAAATAAGTTTATTTCGCTTCACGTTGTTTCTGCCGAAACCTCACATTTTTCTTTTGCTTTTTTTTTTTTGCCTTTTTTTGTTTGTTTGTTTGTTTTGTTTTTGGCTGG